CCACCACCTTCGCAGTACGAATCATTAGTATTAGAAACCTCACCTGAAGTTGAATGGGGACGTCTAACACTATTGTATGTGGTTCGTGCAGTGTCATCGCGAACAGAGCAACAATAGGATGGAAGTAAGCAGATGTGAGCCGCTGATAGTCTTGCGTTCTCGTCCTCTTCACGTTTTCTTTTCTTATCGAAAAGAAGTCGACAGTACAGAAGGCGCTCTAGGGACAACGATAGTGAGGGAGTGGGAGAGGTGAGCAGGTGTTCACCATCGTTGTGGAGCATCATACTTGAGGATTCGCATTTAGTTGCTAGGGGGATCGTACAAACTTCCTCATCGAACGCGAAGGGTAGGGAAAGTGCGACAAACACAGAGAGGGCAACAAGAGAAAGTGTTGTAGTGTCATGACGGAGTACCCAGCATTCGCATCGATCTTGCTCCACGTGCAACACTGCTACGAGTAGGTCGGAGCGTGTTGCATGCAGAGAGCTCTCCTTAATGCAGATTAAGGGCCCCAAAGTCGTAGCACACATACATTCGATCAGCTTACTCTGCGACAAGTTGGTATCCGCTTTGGATAGTTGTCGTGTTCTTTTGTTATTCCCTCCCATACTCCGCACTGAGCATTCGGCTGACAGACAATCTACAGATCGGAACATTTCCAACTACAGCTCGATACACTAAGGTAGTTTACACAGCAGCGTATCAAGAACGGAAACTCATAAAAAGGTCGGCAATGATCAATCATTTCGCGAGACGGAGTGAGTGCCTGATGTAAAGCGGCTCATTAATGCATCAGCCAGGCTATGTATATGTTCAGTGTATTTCATCCCTCTGCAAAAATCTGTTGTAGTCTTATTCGCTGCGAATGAGGGACTAAAGGGAGATAAATCTGCAGCGGCTAGCCCGTTTCTTAATTCTTTCCAATAAATAGTATGAGAACGCTTAGCTAAGTCGTTCAAACAAGTACGAAGTGTCTACGGAAGCCAATCGGCTTTGAAATGTTTTTATTGTGAAAGCACTGCTTTGCGCTACGTCAAAGACAATACCGCGCGATTTTATATTTGCGGAGTGCCGATCAGTCACGGACAAGTAGTGCCTAAAAATTCTCCCAGAGAAGAAAAGAAAACAACAAAGAAGCATGGAATAACAAAGAAGCATGGAGAACGCCTAAGTAGGGACCTAGTAGCTTCTGGACGGGTTTTCCGGACCTGCTCGCTTCATGCAAGCGACATCCTGCAGCTACGCGATTCTTCGCGTCACCCAACACCGTTACCATCTAACAGTGGAAAAAATAACGGAAAACGCGATGTGAAAACTGGACTCGTGACAGAAAATACTCTTTGAGTTACGGTGGGCGGGGCAACTGCAGAATCACCAGAACTGCCACCTATGAGGGCCGCGGCTATTTTGTTACTTACTGTAAAGCCGCGAAAGTGGAACAGTCTCAGGGACTGAGGACTAGCCTACTTGTACAGGGGAGGATGCCCACGAACCGCTTGAGCGCGGCGACTGTCTTTGAATGGCAATTAATAAAATGAAACAACCTGGAAATTTCTGAAGATTAAGCCTTGCGGGTCGTTACTATCGTCTAACCGGCTTATCATAAGAATCGTGTGAGTGCGCAAGGTTGTGGTCCAAAAAAGCTGTAGACTGACCATGAGATGGTAACAGCGACCCTCATGACGTAATGGATGCTGCACTGGCTCAGAAAACGTGAGCTGTAAAAAAACGTGAGTGCTAGTCCAACCCACGGTCAGTTTTTCCCCAAAATTCAGCATCCTAGTGATAACCAGACCAGACAGTCGTTTGGTGATAACCAAACGACTGTCTTGATCAGGTCCTTTCAAAGCCTAACATCAACTAATTTCAGACTTGTTCTCTTCATATTGTTCTGGATTCTATGGGTCTTGCTGTTTCTGGCGGCAATTCTTTTGGTCGTCTTCAGTCCAGGATGTCCAGCACGGCGGACAGCAAACTGGTGGCAGACAGCTATGGCCTACAATGTCAGTTTGGATTTACGTTGTGTCATTTATTTTTAATTGTTATATGGTCCACAACGTGTGAAATTAGCAACAAAATATCAGAAGGCAACAGCGAATCCACGATGTAATCGAACACTCAGCTACCTTTTCCAAGTTACTGCTTCCTTTAAAGGAAGAACCCGCGATTACTCGCCATCTCAGATGGTGGATTAGGGGGTTCCATATAGACGACAAGGGGTTGAGTAACTCGACTGTGAACAAAAAAAAAAGCACAAAAAACATGGCCACCTGCCCTAGACAGAACCCCATTTCGATCCCAGTTTGTAACGCGTTCCAATCAACTCATTGCCAAACTACGCCCATCAGTATAATGCACGGCTGATTCACCGATAGCATTTCTCTTGGCGATCGTACAAATGGCGCTTATGCTATGCTTTTTTGTCCTGCAATCTCCATTTGTTTCATTTAAGACCAGTCATTAGTCATTAGCGGAGTCTGGAGGCGGAGTCACATTGAAAAAGGAGGAGCCACTGACTATATTGGCGGCTGCAGTGCCCCTTCCCAATAGAATTTTCCGCGAAACCGGTAACAAGATTGCTCGTCGCGGAACGCACTCACCAACCGTCATGACGCCCATTATTTTTTCCAAATTCGATACCTGAGTCGCGGAACCGTGCCTTTGGCAGTTGGCACGAATAAATCCCCAAGGCGACTAGGATCAATTCAATTGCGCCCCCCCCCTTCCCACTCCTGGCAGGGATAGAATTCCGCGACCCTGGCAGGCGCTGCATAGCGGTTTCCCCGAGGAAGGTGCCCTTATAAGGGCCCTATCAAGCCACAACTTTACGTCCCAAACGCCCGCCACGCCCGCCCGCCCACAAATGGACGACCGTTCCTGACGCTCGTATTCATTCATTTGCTAAGCAAATTATGAAGCGAAGGGATTGGTATGAAGCGGCCGTGATGCTGCATGCATACATGGGTACACATATGCAGCCGTATCTTCGGTAGCGGTGATTGGTAAGATGGGAAACTCGTCCGAAATCGATTTACAAGTCACTGAGAACGGAGGCTTTTTCTTCGCAGGATTTTGACCGTTCTTTCGCCATTTCCCCACTATACAGCGCCCTACTAGCATTTTAGGCTAAGTAGGAAACCATCGTGCCAACTGCCTTTAATGATGATTTTATTACCCGGGTACTTGTTGCTCAAAATTAGAACTACTGTTGGCCACGAGTATTGACCACTTCCCGCAGCCTCCATCACTACATTTGGTGTTTTCACCTACCCCACCTATTATGCAAATGCACCTCGCCTCTTCCCTCCCCCTTCAATGGTGCCCGTTCCGCCTACTCGCAATGCGCCCCCTGTTTCATATAAGTAGGACATATGAGAAGATTGCTGAGATTATGCTTCTTGTAAGCACTGTTTTAGCTGTAGCGCTTAACTGATCCTATACAAACACCCTCGCGACGAAGCCACCGCCTCCCCCTTTACCCACCTTTCTATTTTGAACGTGTACTAATGGTGCGGTTATTTCGCTACTAACTCTCTCTATTTCGAAAAGTGGAAGTGAGGTAATGAGGAGGAAAAGCTGACACCAGTAAGTGATCGTCTTGTCATTGGTATTTGAGCCGCAGAACTCACCACTTTCGAGCGGGACGTGCCTCCAAGCCACTGACCACCCACGTCTTCATTTTTGTTTTCCACTATCAAAGACTGTAAGTCGCCGGGTTCGCCTTCAAATGAATGTGGTGGTGAACGAATTTAGCGGTGTAGTGGTACATGCCCTCATGATAGACCTCTGCCATAACAGTCGGGAACGGCGGTAACAGTGACAAGTTGACGTCAGACTGGTTCGTGAGTCTTCCAGAACTTAAAGACAGCTCCCGCGATAAAAGTGTCAAGGATAATTGCTGATCAATTATGAAACAGTAGCTGATAAGTAATTCCTCAATGAAGAAAAAAGAACAAGAGCCCTCAAGAACACCATAAACAAAATCGCGACCTGACAGTCACACCTCCCTGCGGTCTCTGTGCAAGCCCTGGCTCACAAATCACTTTGTCACATCTCCCAGTAGTGGATATCATCGAATGCGAAGAAAAAAACAAAAACAAGAAACAGAGGAAAAACTCTTGAAAAGAAAAGGAAACATTTAAAAAGCCGGCGTCCGAACTTAGGGTTACGGTAGCGAGCATGTTTTAGTGTAGTGAAGTGCGTCGAGCTTTTGCACCACAGAAATTGCATCATTCGTGATTTTTACGCGTTTTACCTTACGAGATGGGTTGCTGTTGACTGTTGCTCCCAATGAATAAAATGTGATGAAGGAGAGCAGAATTATTTACGAGCACGAGCGCGGTCAGCAAAAAATACATGCAGTTCCGATTAATGACTGCCGTCCCAACAAGGAACAACTGAGCGGCTCTCCGTCAGAGGGCAGCTAGCTAGTGAGGCGGTCCAACTGAGCAGGCGTTAGAACTAGAACTTTGAGCGGTTCTAGCTCGCTCCTCGCTCGCTGAGGAGTCGCGAGAGTGAGACAGTATCTAGCTTGGGGGCTGAACTACCTGCCCAAGGAAGGACGACCATGTACTACTTGAGCGCGGGGGCTGTCTTTAAAGCAGGATTTTTAAGGATACAGCGGCATTAGTTGTTCCACGCATAGCACATTAATGCCAGAGGTGCTGAGGTCTCCCATAAGACTGATAATTTGTTCGAAGTCTATTTCGCTTTTTTTCAAAGCGGTACTGCCCAGCTGCGAGTCATTCCTGAGTTCAGTACATGAAGCATGTTCTTAGAAGCTGCCTCAAAAAGTGTACATTTTGGCTCCTAGGGCTACCTTATCGTGAGAATATGTGATCGAGAGAACATCGGCTTATGAATTGTGAGTATGACAGAGGTAGCTCGAAGTCCTTGGAAGGCGTTCTGAACCCAAGCGGTTTTGTTACGTGACACTGGAATATCTTTTAAAAGTCATTATACTTTTTGTAAATCTCATAATAAAAGGTGATATTGCATGAATGAACACTGAATGGCATTTCAGTCAAGTAATGAGTCGTAGTTCATGAGTCGTACCCATGAATTTCACAAAATCTTCAGGTTTGGGTGCCGTCATTCCAAGATTCCGATGGCGACGGGTATGGAGATATGCAGGGTCTCATTGACCGTCTCGAAAATCTTCGAAAAAGTGGAGTGCAGGTGAGTGCCTTCCTAACCAAGATCTTCCACGGGGACAACTTCTTTCTTATTCAAGACCGTTTGGCCCGTTCCATTCCTCCTATCGGACGATTTCTCGAATGCAGTTCGAAATTTCAATCAGATGGACCCGAAGATTGGAGTGAATCAGCTTGCTGACAAGGCAATCGAGGTCGCCCATGACAAAGGTAGAATCCTCCCTTTTTTCAGAAGTTCTGTTCCTGTTGGCACAGCTGAACTCTTTTCAAGGGATGAAATTCGTCATCAGCTTGCCCATTGCGACAACCTCACTTGAGCATGAGTGGTTTTTGAAGTCAGCATCAGCCAGCCTTCCGGAATTCAGAAACTACTCTGATGTGAGTTTTCAAGGGTGATTCTATTGAACGCTTTGTGCAAGTCATTATCATACCTGTTTACAGTTCTACCACTGGAAAGGCAAAGGATACTCAGAATATTTTGCCGAATACAAGGGAGTCTCATTCCTGCACGAAAAGAACAACAGCAAGTCAGCCGTTCTCAATTGGCAGAATTCGAACGTTCGAGAGCATATGTTTGTGAGTTGTACGTTAAACCTCACAGGAAAACAGAAACTTCAACAAAAGGGTAGTGGTTGAGCCAGGGTAAGTGTGATGTTATGGCTCCTCCGAAGAACTTGCCTCTCTTCGTTGCATGTAGGGCTAATAGGACTTACTGGCGGTTGTCAGGGAGCGGCGAGTCTGGCGCGGCGCCTGTCCGTTCTCCACCCATTGTGGTCACTCACCAGCTTCCACTGTTTGTAGGGAAGAGGGTCTAATCAAGCCCATGATAAGACCCAGCTTCGCGCGCAGCCGAACAGGCGATACCAGCTATGGGAGGCGATCAACAAAATTGTAATTTACGCACGTAGCACCCAATGCGGCAAAGCAGTTCCACTGACGATGCTCTAAGAGGCAACAAAAAGGCAGGAAGCTGTCTAGTGTCCTCTCCTGTTCAGATGTTGGATCGCGCACCCCGCAGGCAAATTACGATTATCCTGTCAAGTTCGCTTCCTACCACAAGAGTAATGGCGCACCACCGCGAGCCTTGTTCATCACGTTGTACTGAGGATATTCTCAGACATCCCGGTGCTGTACTCCACGTGAACAAAATGTACCGGTTATTACGTTGCTTGCTGTAGAACCACTCCGGAACCTTGGTTTCTCTTTTCCAACTTCCCTGTAACTTTATACGCTTCCCTTACTAAAGAGCCCAGAGGAGGAAGAATGATATCGATCAGTTTCCGTTCTAAGCGGACGTGCGAACGAAAACTGAACTACGTCTTTGAATTTGGACGCCCCTTTAATTACACTCAACTTAATTAATTGAGCAAAAATGAATAAATAAATTAAAGTACTGCATGACTTTGAAGTAATTTTCAACTTTAGAACGAATACAGAGAATTTCTTAAAACTCAATCTTTTTATTTTATGCTATTTATAATTTGCCGTTTCTGCTGTCCTTTCAGTACGCCTTCTCCATCATACGCTGAAAGGATGAAGTAGGTTCACACCTGTCGAAAGCAAAGCCAGCACGACTAGGACGAATCATGCCTAAGGCTGTCGATTTGCTGCACCCTGAACTGAGCGTCAGCGCCATGAGCCCCAAGATGTTTCAAGATTACAGCGGTCTATTCTCATGCTAAAACCGTAGCGATATAATACCGTTTTGTGTACGCCGACCGGAGGAAAAGCTTGTTTGACTGAAGGTTGCTCCTTCCGTAGAAGCAACATTAAAGTGCGTTGTTGTGTTACATAAATTGTTTTTGTTGGGTGAAAATGTTTTATTACACTTGGATATTCACGCTGTTAAGAAAAGAAATTCGCGCTTGTTCATCCTTTTTCGAGATGCGGCACGCATTTTACTTCCGTTCAGAATCATAATGGCCTAGCAAGGGCGATGTGGCTCATACAGTGCCATGGGGGGGGGGGGTGCCGATGTTTAAGCGAAGGTTCTCATCCTCCCAAACAAAGCTGGCGCCAATTTGCCGTCCTCGGAGGAGGCGTGGTTGAACCTTAGCAGGGGCATGTAATGTTGCGGCCGATTGCAGGGGAATCATGCCTTCTTGGCATTCTCAGAACGATTGCAACTAGTAATGAATGAAGGTGTTCAAGTGTTCCCAGAAGGTTAAATCAGTTTATTGCAGAACGTACTTTCCTCGTGGATTGACCGTGGTGTAGATGGATTTTACCTGGTAGGTATCGAGTATTTGGCTCGTTCGGCAGACGGCATGGAACCGGTAGGTTTCTTGGACCACTTCATGATGGCCTTGACGGACTTTAGTTGAGCATCGTTTCAGAACTGGGCTGGAATTGCTGATGTGATCAGCGACATCAGAAACCACGTCGACTCTTTCAGCAATGAAAGCACTAAAGCATCCGGGAAGAAAATGTAAGGGAATTCTCTGGGCAAGACCTTATTCCATTGAGGTCAAACGTTTCAGAGCTCTATTTGCGTCACGAGACGAGGCGAAGGAGAAGGACAAGAAGCAATTGGCGAAAAGTGGTCTCGACTCAGTGATCAACTATGAACTTGGTCAAGTGAGCAAGAACTCTGGTACGTCTTTGTCGGGCACCTGCCCATCTCCGAGGGAGACGGTCTTTAGGATCACGCGACGTCGTGTGCGCAGTAATCTGCAAACACCGCTGGCTTGCAACGGAGCGCACGCCGCGTTAAACTCATTGCGTTATTGAATTAGACTGTGTTCGCGTTTTCAGCCGCCTCTTCACTCTGGTAGGTCCGTTAGATTTTGTTTTAATAACCAGTGTGATTACATAGCAACTGTAGTGCAGAGAAACCTGCACAGATTCTGCTCGCGGGTTAATTAAGGTAATTAGCTGATCCCTAATCATTTAACTGTCGCTTTCTGGACAACGTACTCCAAGTGACTCTACTTACCGTCCTCTTGAAAAATAGCAACGAAATATCACTGCGCCTCAAGAACCCATCGCGAGCGCGCCGTACGGTGTTTGCTATTGTCGCGCGCGACGCCGCGTGGTCCTACTGTCACCTACCTGTCTGCAGAAACCTTCTGAGCCTATGCATTTAGACATATGTCACCGGAACGAGGGCTCAGTAGCAATATGCGTTCACGAGATTCTCTCCGATATTCTACTTTTCCACTCAAATAATCCATCTGTGTGGCCACAGTGGGAGGTTTGGAGACAGTTTTGTCTACATTACTCTTGAATCTCTACTAAATTCGAATCGATTTCAGTTCGGCAACGTTTGGCTGTCTCGTTTGGCTTCTCGTGTGGATAGTCGTGCTCATAGTGAACTGCTCATAATGACCCAGCTCATTCTCCCCGGAACTAATAGTTTCTATTACGGAGACGAATTGGGAATGAAGAATCTTCCAAATGACTCGGTGGTCAGTGAATTTCCTGCCTATTGCTACAGAAAGCTTTACAGAAAGCCCTGTAATCTTCTGTCAGTTCAGGTACCACCGCAACGTGGAGCCATGCAATGGGATGATTCGGCATTTGCAGGTTTTTCGACAAATTCCAAAATTCCGGTCAATTCCGACTACAAAAACATCAACTGGAAGGTGTGTTTGCACTGCTGTATCCGGCATAAGGCGCGTCCGCCATCTTTTCTAAGTTCGTCCGTCGTGGCTCGCGAGAGTGAGATACCCCTCCGGAGAAGCTAGAAATAACTCATAAGGCATGATCCGAAGTCAAACGTTATTCGTTCCTCAAACAATCGCACGTTTTCGGAAAGGAAAGGGTTCCTATCACCCATCCTCCTCGGTTCCTCTTCTTATAGTCAGCTTCTTAATATTTAGCGTTTACTCGTGAGTTCCTTAAATCGTTCATACCATGAATGGTAACTGGTAGTGGTGGGATATATTGCCTACAAGCCTTGCCTGTTGCCTTCTGAGTCTGGTCTACCTTGGTGGCCCCATGCGGGCTAATTTTTCCGTATCCTATTCTTAATCGCGGTCTGTGCACAATGAAGAGCTCAAAGGCGCTGTCACCATCAGATATCGACTAGAGATGAGATAAGCCTACTCCTTTCGTTCATTTTCCCTAATGCGCTCTTTACAAATATTTGTTGATCACTATAAGGACCAGATGAGTTGGAACAAATGCAAATGACTTCCGGTAATTACTCCACTGCAGTCTTGCTCGGACGCCGTGCGTTCCAGGGGCTTAGTTTTACGCGGCGCCAGCCTGTTTTCCACCAATTGTGGTTGCCTTGCCAGCTTCCATGATTGGTGGAGAACAGGCTGGTGTAGCGCCAACCCATTCTCCACTGAGACGCCTCAGCATCCGCAGCGAATAAGCTCGTGTTTTGTGCTAATCCTGGCGGCTTAAGAGGGTCGTATCTTTCAAAATGACGTTGAAAGGGATTTTTTTTTCCCTGATCAGGGTAAAAGGCAAGACTTGGTACGTTCCTACACACTCACTTATTTATTTATTTATTCGTTTATTTATTTTTGTTCGTTTATTTATTTATTCGTTTATTTACTTATTTGATTTTTATTTATTAGTTTACTGCTCTCTGGGGCCGGGCAGAATACTCCGCAGTGAAAGTAAAAAAAAAGTTCACTCAGACAAAGCAAAAAAAGGAGAATCAGAAATTTGAAACCCATGTCCTGTTCTCCGCTTATTTTGGGTACTCAACACTTGGAATCTTCTTCAGTTTTCCAGCTCTATTGAAGAACAATCTGTCAGTCGTCTTTCCCATTGTGAACCGTGTTATTTCAGAAACAGTACGCAGAGGAACAGTCTGCCCTCAAGATGTTTTCCAAGCTCAGCAAGTTGCGTACGAGAGACGAGTCTCTAAGTCTTGGTGAGACCATAATTGGACGACTGATTGAAGGCGGAGCTTACACCATCGTTCGATTCCATCAACGCGAAAATGCTACAAATGGCAATGTAAACAGCTTATTTTCTTTTTTGATTACTCCCACGGTAGCTATACTCTTTATCCCTGAGACGGGGTAGGCGTGGCATTCGAACATGGCACAGAACTGGTTACTCGTGGGATATTTCAATTTGAGACAACCGCCATCTTGTTCTTTGTTGGACAGAGACGTGACCACATTTGGGTCAAAATGAAAATATCTCTCCAAAAGCATAGCCACCACGACGTTTAGTTGAAGTACGCAGCCACGCCTACCTCATCTCAGGGATCCCGAGTTTACTTTCACGCAGAGGCAGGCCGTACTAGTTCGGCTGCAAGAGTTATTCTCCTTATCCCTGAGACGGGGTAGGCGTGGCGTTCGATCATGGCACAGATCCTTCATGGGATACGAGACCACATTTGGGTCAAAATGAAAATATCTCTCCAAAAATATAGCCACCGTGAAGTTTAGTTGAAGTACGCAGCCACGCCCACCTCATCTCAGGGATGAAGTAAATTCTGTAATCATCCGAACTCTATCCACTTTGCTTCATTCATTTCAATAGAATCCCATTTCGAACTTCAGTATGAAGCGCATCACATTGCTTTATCCGTTTCCCGTTACAGGTGTTTGTAGCTGCTGTTAATTTTGCCGAACACTCAGTTACAGTGCCCCTTGAACGATTTGCCCAGCAACGACAAACTCACGAAAACTCAGGTCAGTGAGCAAAATAGTCGACTCTCCCGTAAAATCTTGTATTTCTTTGCCCACTTCCCACCACTCTCGTCCTTTATAGATCCAAGGGCGCTAATTAAATATAAGTTCAGTACAATCTATTGTGTCACTTGTTAGGACATTCGTTCCAAACTCTATCAACAAGGAGTGGTATTCAAATAGAATTGTTAATATTCTCCAGCTTCTATCTTCTTGCAACCTCGGCATGCTAGTTGTAAGTGTTTTAGGCCTAACGTTTCGACGAACCAGTCGAAACGTTAGGCCTAATTAATGAATGTTCCACTTAACAACCTCGTAAGGCAGAATAAATTAACACTTACAACTAGCATTATTAATCTTAACAAAGACTTCTTCGAACGGCATGTCACCGCCTTCATGCCACGTCGCTGCGACCGCTAGGGGGAGGGGGGGAGGGTCGTGGAACGAGCTTTAGGTGCCGCTTCACTAAACCACCGTCTAAGCACAATCCGAACTGGTTCGCGCAACGAGCCCAGCGTTTTCTTTCCCAACCCCATGAGTTCTCTTTCTCGTCGCCCCCGCCGCGTAACCACCACCTGAGTACCGAAGGCACAGCAACCCGCGTTGCTCCGTCTCATTCCAGACCGGCCGTCATCGTTGGCGGGGACTCTAGTCAGCCATACAGGGACAGAAGTCCCATTGAAAGCCAGGTCACCCGCGATTAGTCACCCCAACACCGAAACTCCCTGCTGATCTCGTCGCCCCCCTCCTGTTTGTACAAGGATGCGCTTGTCAGGCGGGTTATCATGGACGCTGCACACGTTGCCTCGGCCGTCTTTCTCTCCCATCGACTTTTTTGACATCGCCGCGCCACTGTATTTGTGGGCAAGGGACTATGCCCAGATTCAATCACTCCTTGAGATTCCCCAGCAGCAAGTGAGGTCGTATTTGGCTTACCCACTCCGGCCCTCCGCGCCCCCGCGCGCCCGTCAGCTTTCGGTTGGGAAAAATTTCTTGTGATAGTTGATTCTTTTGGTCCACGGGCGCTATAAAGGGCGAAGGAGGGAATTCGCTCGTCGCAGGTAGAAGGGAGATCGTATCAAGCTACCTTTTAGAGGGAGGCTCGCACGGATTCGACCATAATCCCTAACTCATGATGTTCCCTGAGTGGTGCTACATAGTGGGAAAACGGCGAAAAAAAAACCTTGTACACCCTCAACAAACTGACAAAAAAACCTTTGTTTTACACGACCGAAAGACAATTTCGGACGGTTCGCCAATCGTTGGCATTGTGCCACTAACCGCTACGGTAGATGCGCCTGCATGTATGTACTCATACTCATGTCCATGCAGCACCACAGCCGCTTCATATAGATCCCTTTGCTTCACATTGTACTTCACAAAGGAAGCGATACGAGCATCAGCATGGGTCGGACATTGTGAGCGGGCGGGCGCGGTGGGCGTCCGGGTCGGTATGGTGCAGCTTGATAGGGCGCTGCAGTAGTACCTGCCTGGGAAAAGGCGCCTTGCAGCGCCTCAGGGCGCCGAATTATGTCCCTGCTAGGCCTATTAACCCACACGCCTTGAGGATTTGTGGTGTCACTTGCCTTGATAAAACTTTCTACATGAAGTTATCACATGACATTAACGTTGCTGTCATACATGGGCAGTTCCGTTTGTTCGTTTTTTTCGTTTAGTTTCTGCAAAGATGACTACACTCCCGTCATTGTTCCGAAACTATCGGTGCACGACACCTCATAAGTACTTTTTCCGCTGGCGGAGCGGATCTTACACTGCCGAGAAGCAAGCGATTCCGAATTGCAGTAAACTGTGTTTGGTCAAGGAGGGAGTGGGGAGAGAATGGCATTTTGCACATTTCTAGTTTCTTTTGCCAGTTCCTCTTGATTACATGTCTCACCGTGGCAAGCCCTGTAGGCGCTTGTCAAATGTGGACAAAGGTCGTGTTATTGCGTAGCTTTACACGAGTGTACAGGTGTCCACAGGAGGCATTGGCAGCGATTGGTGGAACCAGCAAAATGGCCCACCAAGCCGAAACGCCTCCACAAGAGTCGCGGAATGAAAAACTTCATTTGTTCCCACAGCAGCATAATAACCGTTCCATTTTTTAGACAGTAGCACTGCCCAGCACCCCTGATCATCACGTACCAGCTAATCGCCACACTCACCTCATTTCCCTTGTTTCTGCATGACCGTCTGCGCAAAAACTTATGTGTCATAGATTGCTTGGATGTGTCATAGACTTTTCGTCGATTCCTTAACATCGTCCCTAAAAGAGCAAGTGGCATGACAAATCTCCAAGACGTGTTGGACCAGTACGCCAAGCAGGACAGAACGGCTACCCTAAGCAAGCGCTGCGCGGGGCCTTCTCCAAGAAAGTACCCTTATAGCGCTCTACCAAGCTGCAACATACCGACCAGGACGCCCACTCCACCCGCCGCCCACAAATGTCCGGCCACTGCTGATAGTACAGTATGAAGCGAAGGGATTGATATGAAGCGGCTGCGGTGCTGCATGGATATATGAGTACATACATGCAGCCGTATCTACCGTAGCGGTTATTGGCACGATGCCAGCGGGAAACTCGTCCGAAATCGCTTTCCGAGCCATGTACGACAATGTTTTTTCCCAGATTTTTGACCTTATTTCACTTTTTCGCCATGTTCTCCTTCTATATGGCACCCCCTCTACCATTCTAGGCCGAGTATCAAACTATTGTGCCTTGCGCTTTTGATTCGCCAAGCCCATCTCTTTCACGGGTTCCCAGAGTTGACGAAGTAATAGTGTATTGTCTGATGCT